TTTCTTTCCTCTTCAATGCCCTACTTTTCAGGATATTATTGTAATATACTCTATGATATGATGGTCGCTTTTCCTTTTTTTTCCGCACACGCGACCGACAAAAGATTATTGATGGCCGCTTTTCCCGTATTTCAGCACACGCGACCGACTAAAAGAGATTGAAGAACAACTGTCTGTTCTACTCTCCAATTTCGTTCTCATTTACGCCACCCTGAAGATCCAATCCTCTTGCATATTTTCCCTCACCCTCGTCGAAAAACACCTTTACTCGACGATGACGGCGCAACTGTTTCAACGATCTGCAGCCGCAACAATGGACGATGAGGAGGATCTAATGAATTCCCTTCTTCGTCCTCCTCGCGGCCCGATTTCTCCCTTCTGGGATGCCCGACCAAAGAATTTCCATGGCGGCCTTCATCTCCGGCCAGTACATGGCGCCGCCGAACGGCAGCTACGTCCCTCTGTTCACGAGTGCGGAGAGTACATCGCCAATTCGACTAGCATCCCTATCTACACCCTCTTCCAGTGCCACGGCGACTTGACCCGCGACGACTGCCTCCATCCTACGCCGCCACCCGAACGACCATCTCCCGCTGCGTCCCCGCCGTCTCCGGCCGGATCTTCCTCGACGGGTGCTTCTCCCGCTACGATAGGTATGAATTCTACAACCAGGGCGTTGACGCCGCCCTTGACGGCGTGAACAGCAATACCTCATTGGGGGCGGCGAGTGGGGTCGATTTGGAATTTGAGGGGGATCGTTGGGGCGCTGATTGATAATCTGATGGCGAGCGTAGTGGAGAACGAGGGTTAAGCGGTGAGGGGCAGCCGGGGAGTGTTTGGGTTGGCCCAGTATTGGAATACGGTGAGCCGAGAAGGGTGTAGGGAGTGTTTGGCGAAGGCCAATAGAAAGATCAGAGGGTGTTTGTCGAGCAGGGAAGGCTGCGCGATGAACGCCGGGTGCTATTTGAGGTATTCTATGTTGGATCCTTAATCCAACATTGGGCTAATATGTAAAATAATTATAGTATTGTGGTTGTCAAATAAAGAAGCCCAAATAAAAGTGATCAATTAAGGTTTAAAGTTATTGGGCTTTAAAGTATCAATAGGGTGTGGGCCTTTAATGTGTAGAAACTAATGGGTCTTCTATTTTAATGATGGGCTAAAATAGAGATGCCCAATGTAACTTAATGTACATAAGGGTTGTGGTCCCTAGGTCATACGACATCGACAGATTATCTCTTCTGCATCCCATCGACAGAGAGGTTACGGAGAAAAGCTAAAGGGTTCTCTGAAAGGTACAGATCGTATAGGCCTAGAAGGCCAAATCCCCAAAATCAATCACCTATGGATTCAGGTACGCTTCCGTATTCAGTTTTTGGTTCTCAATTATTCGATATGAAAACTCCTAGATTAAAGCGATGTATTTCGCCTAAAGTTAATTCCAACAAGTGGTATCAGAGCCTCTTCATATTGAATTTTGGGGAATCAATTTATTTTGATTTTCAGTTATGCGAGATTGATTTTGGATATGTATGTTTCGGATTTATTTGGATTCAGCACTCGAAATTATTTGAATCCATCAATTCTATTGAGATTTGGTTTCGAAATTAATCTGCTTCCGGTTTTGGAATTTGTT